CCAGGGGACTCAGCATGAGCATCTCAGCTGGCAGAGGGGATGGTCTGATTAAAACATGTCAGATATAAGGAAGAATTAAAAACCTTAGAAATGTGCATTTGCTACAATTCAACTGTGAGAAATTATATGTTCTTTAACTTATGTAACTTATTTAATAAACTTCCTAAATAAAATACTAGTTTTTTGAGGCACAAAAGATAAACAGAACTGCACACACACACACACCACCACCACCACCACCACCACCACCACCACCACCAACAACAATTGCATTTGGGAGAGAGTAATGGTCTTCCAGAGGTAGTGAGGCTTGAAGTCACATTTTTTTTTTTTTTTTTTTTTTTTTTTTTTTTTTTTTTGCTTTTTCGAGACAGGGTTTCTCTGTGGTTTTGGAGCCTGTCCTGGAACTAGCTCTTGTAGACCAGGCTGGTCTCGAACTCACAGAGATCCGCCTGCCTCTGCCTCCCAAGTGCTGGGATTAAAGGCGTGCACCACCACTGCCCGGCTTGAAGTCACATTTTTTAGTTAGATTTGAACTCTCTTGAGCAGAAAGGACCTAATTCTGTCCCTCTGAAGTTCTATTTCCATCTAAACTTCATTCTGAGAGGAAACTTTTGTGTTCTATCTTTGCATTTTGAGACGCGAAAAGAATTATGCAATTTTCATAAAATGAAAACCTATGATGTCTGTGAGGGTGGTTGATGCCTTCAAGCACACAGGAAACTGAAACAAAGAGCTAGTTAAGAACAAGGTATCCACGTGGACAGGGTTGAGGTGAGAGGGAAGGCGTGTGATCAAAGGGGAAGAATATGCTGGATGTTTCCTGCTCACTTTCCTCACTCCCATGACAGGATTCCTGACAGCTCAAGGAAGAAAGACTTGCTTTGGCTCACAGTTCAGAGGGAACAGCCCATCGCGGTAGGGAAGGCTTGGCAGCTGGGTTAGCTATGCTCGTGTCTGTGGAATCCTGTGGCAGCTGCTTCTTGTGTGGTTCTGATCAGAAAGCAGAGAGTTTGGGCAGGAAGAGAGGCCAGGATCTGCTCCTCTAGGGCCACCCTTGAGTGATCAATCTCCTCCAGCAATGTTTTACCTCATGATGTTTCCACAATCTCCCCCAAACCAAGCTGTCAAAGTTTTCAAACAGGTTAGCCTGAGTGGAGCAATTATACCTGGGAATAACAAGGAATAACATGTCCATATAGGCGTGACAGTGCCTATGGTACTGTTTGGAGAACGTTGGAGAACATGGGGTCACGATGAAATTGTGAGCCCCATTTCCCTGGATTTCCCACTTAACATGTAGACAAAATTCTGCAGCCTCTCCAACTCTAGTTTAGTTCTCTGTAAAACAGACAGCCGAGTGTTGGTTGGGTTGGTGCAAGCGTTCAGCAAAATACAGTGTGTTTAGCACGGTGCCTGCCACATGGGATGGCTTGACAAATGGAAGTTAATTGTCTTTTTTATGAAAAGATAACAGAAGTGATTAAGACTAGAAACCCAGAGGATTCCGAGGCTCAGTTAACACAATTCCTCAAGCCATCGCCCTCAGTCTGAGAAATTACTGGACTCTCTTAGGTGGCTCCTCAGACGCCAGGAGGCAGGGCCCCTTCCCAGAGTTGAGTCAGTGGACCTGGGACCTCAGAAGTCCTTCCCCGGTGATGCTGGAGGCTTGCTTGGCTGTGAGGTTGATTGGCAGTTAAAATAGGAGGGGAAGCTGCTTATTTGAAGCACTCAGTCCATGAAATGATGTATAGGCACACGGGGGCATGCTAAAAGCTAGCTTAGAGCCAGGCAGAGCCTGGGGGCTCACTGGAGCTTCAGGTTACTCAAGACACAGAGCAATGCCTGATGTTGTGGCCTTCACACTCACACACACAGGTGAGCACGCCCATACCCACACACCAGCAAGAGGTATTTATGCCCATGGCTTCTCTTCCTAACTAAAAGGGTGTGCATTGGGGCGATGGGCAGAGGCTGTTTGTCTACATCAACCCTGGCAATGGCAGCAAAGGTTGAGAACAAGGATATTTAGTTGACACACACATAAATATCAAATTTTATACTTTAAATGTGAGCAACTTATTTTTTCTGTCCCGGTCTCTCTATGTAACCTTATTTGACCAGAAACTCCCTATGCAGACCAGACTGGCCTCAACCTCACAGAGATCTGCCTGTCTCTGCCTCCTAGGTGCTGGGATTAAAGGTGTGGCTAGCCAAAGGTGGATATTTTCCTCAATTACTCCTCAACAGGAGTCCCTATAATAGGGAAGGCCTTCAGAAGGCTCCCAGTCAGGATGTGGCTGGGACCTCCTGGCCTGACTTAGACACTAATGGATAAGAGCCGGCCTTTCTGGGTGAGGAAAGGACACAGGTATGTCACAGATTCTCTTCTTTTTGTTGAGGCTGGAACCCAGGGTCTAATGCATGTAAGACAATCACTCCATCTCCAGACTGTGTAGCCCTGTCATGGACTGTAGCATGCATGGGTAGCGCAGAGAAAGTCCATCTGCCCAGGCTAATACTAGTGGGTCCAGTAATGATGAACGGGGTGGGAAGGGGTGTTGAATAGGCAGCAATTGACCGCCCACCAGTTACCTTCATTTCCTCACCTTTTCCCTCTTGGACCTCAATTTCAGGGTGCAGAAAATTTGGGGGGCAATTTATTCTAAAGATGTCCATCCTGTCCCCTGATCTTCTCAGCCAAGGGCAGAGAGGAGAGCCAAGCTCCAGCTGGAGTTCCAAGAACATATGGGCCTTGGGAATTATAATAAGAGGGAGCCATCTTCTTCATTAATTGATTAATGTAATTAAAGAAAGATAAGTATGTCGATGCTGAGCACATTAGAGTTAATTTGTACAGGCAATTAGCTGCACTCCCTCTTTCATGCTAACTGCTTCAAAAGCTCTGTACACAGACACCCTGGGGTCAAGTCTGGCCCCCAAGTACCTTATTCCAGGACCCTAAGAAGAGCATGAGTCTCCTTAGACAGGGACTAGAGCAAAGCTCTTTGCCCTGGTAGAAGTCCCTTAACTTAGTGTGTCTCAGTTTCCTCTAGGCCCAGTAAGGGGTAATGACTCAGCTCTCCATTGGAGCAGCAAGCACACAGTGAGGAGGTGTGTGTGCCAGGAGCAGCCTGTCCCCATCTTCTTTATGTCCTGGGGACATCATCCTTTTCAGGCCTGGGCACACCTTGCTCTGGGCTCATGAAACCCAATGGGTTTCAAGGAGGCCTCCTGGGCGCCTTCTCTCACTTGCCCCACTCCGCCCCTGTGTGCCCGGAGCGACTTCTGCCGTACTCTGTCTACCTACCCTTGCATCTGTCTTAGAGGTCTTCTTCCTCTGGTCACCTGCCCACTGAAGATTTCCACCCCAGACTATGCTCATTTCCTATCCCATCCTCCTCTCTGCTCACTCTGCTTGCTTGGGTCTCCTCAATCCCTTCTCAAACCGCACGTTCTCATTTTAGTTGTAAACACATGCACACTGTCTTCTCCATCCATCTACAGAGATAACCAACTTACCACATGAACACTCTGTTCCCAGCTGTTCCCACTTTCCCACAGCAGTCTCATCTTATGCCAGGATAGGGCACCTCTCTCCATCAGTGTCTTCAGCCAACAGCCAGGGGTCACTCCTGGTAACCCCCCCATCTGCCACATCTGAGCACTATCGAGTTTTTACAGCTTTATTGAGGTACGATTGAAAAACATTTAGATATGTCTGGGAGGCCCTCAGCACACTGAAGATAATGAATGATTTTTATCAGTTCTGGAAGTTTCCTTATGACCCTAAGTAAGGCTTCCAGATCCCTATTTGCATCTCCATCTGATCCTCAGGCTACCACAGATTCCTCTTCTATCACTGCAAAGCGAGGGCATGTGAGGTGACACAGTGAGCTAGGAGACTTGATCCAGGCTGCTTCATAGCATCCTTCCAGCCCTGCTTGGCATGGACATGCTCCTCTGTTCATCTCATCCCTCTCCCCCTTGGACCTTCCTTGCTACCTAGCCTCTCTGGGTCTGTGAATTGTAGCATGGTTTTCCTTTATAGTTAATATCCACTTATTAATGAGTTCATACCACCTTGTCTTTCTGGATTAGGGTTACCTCACTCAGGATGATTTTGTTCTAGTTCCATCCATTTGCCTTCAAACTTCCTGAATGTCATTGTTTTTAAAAGTTGAGTAATACTTCATTGTGTAAATGTACCACATTTTCTTTCTTCATTCTTTCGTTGAGGGGCATCTAGGTTGTTTCCAGGTTCTGACTATTACAAATAAAGCTGCTAAGGACATAATTAAGCAAGTGTCCTTGTGGTGTGATGGAGCATTCTTTGGTTATATGCCTAACACACACACATATTTTGCCTGAGCAGCTTCACAGGAGTGGAATGTCTGGGTCATATGTTGGTGGATGTTTAACCTTTAAAAACCTGCCAAGCTGGGCATGGTGGTGCATGCCTTTAATCCCAGCATTCAAGAGACAGAGGCAGGCAGATCTGTGAGTTTGAGGTCACCCTGGTCTACGTAGAGAGTTCCAGGCCGGCCAGAATTACAAGGTAAGACCCTGTTTCAAAACCAAAACAAAAAACAAAACCAAACTTGCTATTTTTTTCTGCTTAGTTTTGCCATATTATACTTTTACCATAATCATGGGCAAATGTAAGACACCCTTTTTGTTTGGCAATATTTTATGTGGAGTCCACTAAATTTTGGTCATGCTGATAGGACCATGATAGTTTCTGATTGTGGTTTTGATATGTTCTTTGGTAATAAGAGAGAAAATTTTCAGGTGCTTATTTGGCAAATGTTTGTTTACAATTTACCTATTTAAAAACTTCGAACTATTTGTTTAGGACAGAATCTGGATTGATTTTACACATTTGGAATATAAAGTCTGTGTTGTGTATGCCATTTGAAAGCATTTCCCCTGACTTGTCTTTTCATTCTCCTTAAAGTGTCTCTCAAAAAGTATAAGTTGTGCTTTCTGTGCCAATATCGCACCCGCCAACATGGTGAACGTTCCTAAGACCCGCCGTACATTCTGCAAGAAATGTGGCAAACACCAACCCCACAAAGTGACCCAGTACAAGAAGGGCAAAGATTCTTTGTATGCCCAGGGAAAGCGGCGTTACGACAGGAAACAGAGTGGCTGTGGCGAGCAGACTAAGCCTATTTTCCGCAAAAAGGCAAAAACTACAAAGAAGATTGTGCTGAGACTGGAATGTGTGGAGCCCAACTGCAGATCTAAGAGGATGCTGGCTATTAAGAGATGCAAGCATTTTGAACTGGGTGGTGATAAGAAGAGAAAGGGCCAAGTGATCCAGTTCTAAGCTGACCTTGTTATGAAGACAATAAAATCATGAGCTTTCACTCAAAAAAAAAAAGTATAAGTTGTAAATTTTGATGAGATCCAACTCAAGTTAGCATGGCTCATGTACGGAGGTCAGAGGACAACCTGTGAGGGTCGGTTTCCTTCTTCCACCATCCGGGTTCCAGAGGCTGGGCTTGGGATTCAGGCTTGGTAGCAAGTGCCTTTACCTGCCCTTGCCTTCTTGCTGTCCCATCGGCCATTCCCGCTTGGCTGTGTCTAACCCAGAGTTGTGAGATTTTCTCTGGAGTTATAGTTCCGATAGTGTGTGCTGTCCGTTCCCTACATTTCTGCCTCTTTTTGGATAACAGAGTGAAATAGAATCCACATACTCTACAGTTTATCCATTTAAAGTGGGCAGCTTGGGGCTGAGCGTGTGGCCTACCACCTAGCACATGTTTTGGGTCTGAACCCAGTTGTGCCTAAAAAGCATAAAACTCCATTTGAAAGGGTTTCACCACAGCTTCACACCCAGGACCTACTTCTGTTTTTTTCCACTTTCTTACTAGAATTCTTTGAAGTGGTATTTTTTTTTCTTTTAAATTCGATGGACCTCACTCTTTGATCAGGTTTGAGTTAATGTTTGATCCTGGTACAAGACATAGGTAAAGATTTTTTTAAAGTATTAAAATTAATTTTCTCCACAGAACTTGGTACTTTTTCTGAAAATCAATGAACACACACATACATACTTATTTTAAAAAGATCCTAATAGTTATGTATATATGGTGTGTCTGTGGTGTGTGTGTGTACATGAGCGTACTGGAGTATGTGCATGTCTATAGTGTGTGCAATGCATGTGCACAGAGAAAGACATCAGGTATCTTATTGCCCTGAGATAGGGTCTCCCACTAAACTGTAGCTTCATCATTTTGGCAGACTTGCCATCAGGGAGCTCCCAGAAACCTACCCAAAGCTGGGGTGATATATACATATGATACATATATACAACCAGGCTTGGTGGGTGTTGGGGTTTTGAACTGAGATCCTCAAGCTTGCACAGAAAGCACTCTAACCCATGGATCTGTCTCTCCAGCATTTTTTCAAAAAGTCTTTGTATATAGCCCGGCTGTCTCTAGTTCTCAGTCCTCCTGCCTCAGCCTCCTGAATGCTGGGATTGTAGGTGTGGCCATCAAGTCTGCCAAGTTTTACTAATTTTACCTTTAAAGTGCTCCTTAAGCTTGTCCTCTTTTCTTTCTCTCTACAGCCACCTCCTTAGTCTGGGCCACCACCAGCCTTTAGACAATGCAGCATCCTTGTCCATGACTCCCTCTTCTCTCTTGCTCCTCCAATTTCTTCTTCATTCAATAACCAAAAAGAATTTCCCTGGGTGGCTTCCATGTTCAACACTCGACTCTAGACTCCCACTACCCCTGAAATTTGATTTTTTTTTTTTTTGGTGTTTTGAGACAGGGTTTAATCTGTGTAGCCCTGGCTATCATGGAACTGTCTCCATAGACCAGGCTGGCCTAACACTCAGAGATTGGCAGGCCTCTGCGCGCCCCTCCCCCCCTCCGTGCGCTACCACTGACTGACGAAAAGTGAATCTTTCCTGCCACCACTTGTAGATCTTTCCCTTGACTTCTGAGGTTGCCACCTTCTGCCACCACCTTTTCCTTCCTCTTTCTTTTCCAAGTCCTGGGGGTGCATTCTCCTCTCTGCTCCTCCTCACCTCAGAGCTTTCGCACATGCCGTGCCCTTTCCTGGGAAAACTCACGGTCCCACTTGGGTATCCTCATGTGTCTAAGAGACACTTACACTTGTTCCAGTGTTGCTTTTTCAAGGAAGACATCTCTTCTCCTTCCTTCATTTAAATCCAGTCTTCATTGCCTGCTTTCTTAATTCATTCACCCTCAACCTTCATATTATTCAGTCATGTACTATTGCTATGTACAGCACAGAGTCTCGGAGACATTCAGCAATAAACGTTTATTTTATTTATGAGTTGATGGCTCAGCTATCAGTTACTTATCATCTATGCCCTTCCAGCCTCCTGGGATTAGCAGGACCTCAAGGCTCATGGCTGTGGCTCAAGTGTAAGAGGACAGGCTCTCCATGCAAGCACAATTCAGGATGGCTGCTCATATCTCATTGGCTAAAGCAACACTCACATGGGCCAATGTCTATTTGTGTATGTGCTGGACTGCAGTATTATGTGGCAAAGGCTTGCTACAGAGAGGGGTGGGGAAGCAGCCAGTCATTCACTCTCATTCTTCTCATGAATACATCAAACAATTATTATCAATACGTTTTCATTTGACTCTTTGCTGCTGACTCCCCCCTCCCCCCATTTCCTTTCTTACTCCTCAGGGTCTAGTACTGTGCTTGGCACATTTTAGGTGATGATATGGTGATGGAGGAAGGTCACTGGTTAAAAAAATAAAGAAACTATGCTGGCCCTCATAGGTTAAAACATAGGTGGGAGGAGTAAACAGAACAGAATGCTGGGAGGAAGAGGAAGTGAGCTCAGACTCAACAGCTCTCCTCTCGGGAGCAGACGCCTCAGAAGAGATGCCATGCCCCGCTCCCTGTCAGACACACGTGATGAAGCTCCGACCCAGGATGGACGTAGGGTAGAATCTTCCCGGTAAGACCGGTGCTCACAGATTATTAGAGATGGGTTGATCGGGATATCAGAATTAGCCAGTAAGGACTAGAGCTAAAGGGCCAAGCAGTGTTTAAAAGAATACAGTGTCCGTGTAATTATTTCGGGGCATAAGCTTAAGCTAGCCATGTGGGCAGCCGGGTGCTGGGGACGCAGCCCCGCCACTCCTATTACTACAATATGGCAGTGGCTGATTGAACGAATGAATGAGTTTTTTTTTCATTTCTTTGACTATTCATTCTCCAAGAAACCGGGATCAAAGAGTTCAGATTACTAGATTACTGGAGGGACTCCACCAAATCTGATGCGAGTGTCCGAAAGGCCCACAGATTTGATAGTTCAAGGTTTAGTTTAGACTGAGATTCCCACCTGCCCCAGAAGACCTTTTGGCACATCTTCAGTCCTGCTCCTCAAGTCAGCGAATTGCATTCAGACTCCAGAAGCCAAGGTAGTGTATCCAGTGTGAATGTTCTGGCCCCCTGAAAAGCAGCCACATACCTGAGTTCCTGGGAAGCCCTTGCTTCCAGAAAAAATTATAATGTGGAAGAAAATGAGAAGCAACTATTATCATCTACTTGCAGTACAGCTGCTTAGGCAGAGAACATAGAACATGCCCATTCCTCTCCATTATTTCAGGAAATGTAGACTCAACACTGTAGAGCAGGGAGCCCAAGACTTCCTATGTAGAGGAGAGTTACCATCTTGAGCCAAATCTACCACCCAGCCACACCACTACATGCTGCCTCCTCCTCCTCCTCCTTCTTTCTCCTCCTCTTTCTCCTTCTCCTCCTCCTCCCTTCCTCCCCCCTCCTCCTCCTCCTTCTCCTCTTCCTCCTCTTCTTCCTCCTTCTCCTACTTCTAGATGTCTAGAACAGTGTGCACTGTTTCTCACTATCCAGGGAATGTGGCACGTTGCACACACTGGGTGAGCCCTTGCCAGAGCTGCTGGTATCTAGTGAGGACAGACCAAACAGAGAAGAGTCTTGTGAAACTGTGTAGGTGAAGACTGTTCATTCGTTTCCTGGCCACCCAAACCTGAATAATAACATTGAAGCTATATCAATTACACCATTGTTTGGCCAATAGCTTAGTCATATTTCTAGCTAACTCTTATGTCTTAAATTAACCCATTTCTATTAATCTGTGTATTGCCACGAGGCTGTGGCTTACTGGTAAGATTCTGGCTGGCGACTGGCATCTTTCTTTTTTAGCAGCTACATGTTGTCTCTCTGCCTCCACCTACTTTCTCTCTATATCTCTGTTTGGATTTCCTACCTGGCTTTACTCTCCTAAGCCACTGGTCAAAACAGCTTCTTTAATAACCAATGGTAATAAAACATATTCATAGCATACAGAGGGGAATCCCACATCAAAACTGGGCCAGATGCAGGTGTGTCTTGTCCAGAAACCTCCCAGTTATTGCTATGGAGACACAGAGCAAGGAGGCAAGCCAGGAAAGGCCACACTCTGGGGCTCATTCTGGTTCTGGTCTTTGAAGGATGAGCAAGAGTGTATAAAACAAGTGAGAGTAACGAGGATATCTTAGACATGGAAGACAGCAGGTTCAGGGTTGTGAAATGGGAGAAGGGGAAAATTCGGTGTGTCCAGAGAGGAGCATGCTTGCGGAGGTACTTAGGAAGTGAGGAATAAGCTCAGGCCAAATATGTCAGGCCTTGAGGGTGGGACCAGGTTTGATTTCTGAGCAAGATGAGTCCACAGAGGGTTAAAAACATGACAGGCTGGGGAGGTGGTTCAGCAGGGAAAGGTGCCTGCCACCAAGCCTGATGGATGACCCGAGTTTGATCCCTCACACTCACATGGTAGAAAAAGACAACAAACACCTGGAAGCTGTCTTCGGACTTCTGCCACACACATGTCACATACAATGCAATAAAAAACTAATCCATTAGAACTACTGAGATACACACACACACACACACACACACACACACACACACACACACACACACAATCGGCCCCACCAACCAAAAGGCAAAGAGAGGAAAATGACCAACAAGCTTCTCTCCTTCTTTGACCCTAGCACCAGGGACCCCGTCTCCGCTATAGAAGCGCGTATCTGCCACTCTGTGTATATAAGCAGAGATGCATATGTGTATCTATAACGTCTCCCCTCCCCCGACACAAACAGCAACATTCTAATCACTCTGTGCAGCACTTTGCTTTTCTTCACTTAACAATATATCTTGGAGATTGTTTCATATCCGTACATAAAGAGCTGCCTCATTCTTTTTTAACAGCCATAAAGATTTCCATCCTAAGGATGGATTGCAATTTGTCTGAGCAGTCCCCTCTTGATGGACATTCAGGCTGTCTCCAATCTTCTGTTATTATAAACCATGCTGCAGTGAATAGCCTTGTACACCCAACTTTGCATACATATATCCGAGTAT